CACTGTTTTCAGCACAAATCTGAAACACAACCCCATACTAGCTGTGAAGAAAATTAACTCTATCCCAGCCAAAATCAGCACGCAGAGATAAAGCAAGCAATTTTTTTTTCACTATAATTATGAGTTAACTCATTCTTTGTAGGTTTGACTAATTTATCAGCTAGGAGATAGGACTGAGGGATTTTGAAACCTGAGAATATCACAGTGATTATCAACTTTCTACCAAAAAATTTAAAGAAAATTTAATAATATATTTTTATTTTTAATATTAATGCAGTGAATACTTTTAATTTCTATTTTCTATATTTCAATATGTTTTCACTTTAAAATTCCAGATATCTGTGATTTTAATGCTCTTAAAATCAAGGTTTTGATCTTTTACTCCATATGCTATGGTACAGCTGTGGCTTTAGAGAATTCTGCTCAAGACCAAGAAATATTTTAATCAATTTGTACAGACAGGAAACAGATGCTGTTCCAGCTGTGAAATAGGCCTAATTTGCTTTAAATTAGTGCCCATGTGTGTGTGATCCATTGCCTTCTGGCCTAACTCAAGGCTTCCTTTCTCAAACCTGCTGTCACATGAGGCCTGCAAGAATGGAATTACAGAAACTGAACTGATGTGTGTCACTGTTACTTGCAAGAAGCAAGTAACAGTGCAAGCAAGAAGCAAAAAGTAATCCAGTTTATGGATTATACTTTATTTTTTGAATGAGTTTTTCTGAGTGGAATAGGGGGAATGAGAAAACATAAGAAAAAGAATTGAAGACATTGCTGTACAGAAGTATCCCAAATGTGTTACAACCAGAATGATGACCTTCGTAGCCTAACATTAGTCCCTGCCTTCTAGTTTGTATTCTTTTCTTTTCATTATAATTTAGTATGCAAGTCATAATGTTTATTTTTCACTATAATCGTTGACTGTTGTGCACAGTGATCAGCAGTTAGCAGAGTAGAGTGCTCTGAAAACTTTTTATTAAATATTTATATTGTGTACACCTAAGTTATGTACAAACAGGGGGCACAAAAATCTGCCAGAGAGAATTTAGATATGGTTGATGTTATTTCGAATTAGGGGGATGGATCAGATGGCCTCATAAGATTTTTTTGGCTGAATTTTTGATAGTTAACATTTTAGAGAAAAAATGTCTTGTGGAAGAATTTTTTCATAGGTCCAAATCCCATTTAATTCTTGAAAGCAGTGCAGAAGACCTAATGAAAATGTGTGAAAGTCACACTTGTCTTATACCACTAAACTTGGTATTTCTATCACCTCAAATGTAGAGGAGAAAAAAGTCATAAAACATGGCTGTTTCTCATGCATCTATTGTAAACTTACTTTAATATGGAACTTCCCACAGTCTTGGAGAAGCCCATAGGCTGAGGCTACAGGAACCAAATTTATTCATTGAGTGTTACATTTGAGCAGTTTGAGCTGAGAAGGACTAGTGCAGCTCATCCTTATTAAGATTTATTGTGGATGAGAAAATTTACTACACATGAGAAAATTAAAATTTTATGGTCTGTTCAAATTTTTAGAACCACGTGGGTTTTAAAATAATACTTGAGTATGCAAATAATTTCATCCAAATAGCACTATGAGATGTTTTAAAGTCATGTGGTGCAGGTAGGATTTTTAATTTATTTTGTGAGTCCAGTGAGAGATCTGGTCAAAAAATCACCACTCAAAACATGTAATTATTGTTACCATGGTGTATGAATGTCTTAAGTTTGCAGACAGCATTAATAAAATTTCTGAAGTAATGTAGCTATTTTAGATATCTGTATACAGATATTTGTTGAACTTGAAGGTCTTGGAATTCTTTCCAACCTAATTATTTCTGTGATTCAGTGATTCAGTGACTGTTCTGTGAATGTCAGTGAATGATAAGATATGCTCTGGTGTGTGGAAAGTCTGATCTAATAACTGTTGGCCTTTTTTAAGATTCAGCTCTTCATCATAGGCTCTGGTCACTACAGTGTGTTTGTGGTGTGCAAAAGAATCATAAAATCCTCACTGTAACAGGCATCTGGAGAACATCTAGTCCTTCTCCCACTTGAAGCAGACCTGTTGCCAAATGGGATCAGTTCAACCACTGCTCTGTTTAGCCAAGTCTTGAAAACTTCGATGGATAGGGCTCTCTGTTCCAGGGCTGCTTCACCTTTCTAAAGAAAAAGTATTTCCTTTTTGTGTGCTGTGAATCTCCAAAGCTGTAGGTCTAGGCCATTTCCCCATGTTTTACCATGCAGCACTATTGAGAAAATTTTGTTTCATTCATGTTTTAACTCCTCTTCAAGTAGTTGCAGGTTGCTGCTGAATTTCCCCTTAGCTTCCTCTTCACAAGAATAAGCAAGTTCAGTACCCTCAACCCCTCCTTACAAGTCAGTGCCAGAGGCCCCTCAAAAATCTGAAAGCCATTTGTGTGATCCTTCCCAGTTTCTAAGTATCATCTTAAACTGATGTATCTCAAAACTGCACACTGACTGGTTCAATTTTGCTTTTTTGCCAGTGAAGGTAATAAGTAAAAGCACTAATTTAAAATCCACACCAAGTTGCTGAGCAAAGCAGTTATGGTATATTCAGACCAAAGGGGAAAGCAGAAAACTACAGGGAAGTTAAAGAGCCTTCTGAAAGCATTTAATAAAACAAGTCTTTATTTGTTTGGCCTGAAATCTTGAAAGATATTGCAACTTCAACAGGCCACTAAACTAAAAAACTGGCAGGAGATCTGTTTTTGAAGACCTAGCTTGATGTCTAGAAATAATTAACAATATAACCTTGTTGTCTTAGAAATTCAGATGTGTGCTACAGCTCTAAGAGGGACCAAGTAGAACCTGCTGGCTGCTGTGTTTCTGGAGCACAGGATGGGGCTGGTAAAATGGGTACCCATTGCTGCACCTCCCTCCTTCTCTGGGTGATTTACAGTCCCTGGTGTAATGTGTGCTCCTGGCCCAGCAGCCCCTCTGAAAGTCTCACAGTTAGAAACTCTCACCAGCCTGAATCTTTACTCCTGAGGTTTTCAGCTCATGTTCTCTCATTCTCTTGCAATTCTGGGAATGCTCTGGTCTCTACACAAATGCTAACCATTGTCTCCAGCTTTCATCATCTAGAAATGAGGCTCTTTGTTCCTTTCATTCTGGCTATTTCTCATTAAGTAGGTGAAAGGAGACAAGTGGCAGCCCTTGCCTATCTAAAAGAAAATCTTTTATAAGCAGAATCAAGGGGGGAACATAAATGCTTATAGAAGCCATTCTAAAGATATAAATTAAGGTATCCTGGTTTTGAGTGTTTTTTTATCAAACAGTGACCACCAAAGAAAAAAGGTATAGGTATAATCTTTTGACTTTTGCTTTACTTAAGTAAAATAACTATAAAATTTCATGCAGGTGTAAGTGTTTTGTAGGTTGTTACCTTGATTTAGAAGCACATATCTCCTTAATTCTGATTGTAGCATCACTGTAATCTGTAATCCAGAACTGCAGGTTTAATCAAAACAATCTGGTATTTGTATTAATATAGATTTGGATTCATCAAATGGCATGATATTTGCACCTTTTTGCACATTTTTGAGTTACATATTTTATGGATCAGAAACTGTATACAAGTTCATAAAATGCCACTGTACACAGTTGTGAAATGGTGAACATCATTGTTCAGAGAAGATCATGAGGCACAATGTCATTGTAAGAAAAAGGTTTGCATATGTTCGGTAGGAAAAAGGGTGGGAAATATGGAAGAGAGCAGATCTTTATGTGAATTCTAAAAGCAGGCACTGAGAAAGAAAGCTCTTTTTGCAGCAAACATATGCCTACACATTCTGGTTAGTAGATCATGGAATGATATTTGCTTAATATGCCCAGAGAAGGTTCTGAAAAATAAGTCATGCAACAGGCAGGGTCCAGGGCCGTGACCTCAAAGTTTCATTTATTCTGCCAGCTGTGTTGAAAATATTTCCATATGGTTACACTGACAACTTTACCATAAAACTGAATTCTTTGATCTCTGTTAGTTTATGCAATCAAGTGGGTAAAGAATGTTGGTGTTTTGTAAAGGTTTTTTTAAAAATAAATATAATCAGTACTGAGAATTGGATTGAAAGACAAGCTAATATCCTGGCTGGCATTACCAGGTATTATCATGAGAGATTAGGTTCAGAGGCAAATCTAAGGACACATCACAGGTTTTCTGAAATTCTCTCATTCTCTTTTCCATGAGTTAGGATTTGAAATTTGGCCTTTGACCGGTGTTTGGGAGCGCACTGTTTGAAAGTCCTTGTCATTGACAGGGATTGATGGCTAATCATGAGTGGTTCTGTGCTGGAAAGCTGCATGACACGTAAAGTAATTTAGAAATGCTCTATTTTTTCCATTTGGCAGTCAAGGTTTAATAAAATAGCAATTTCTTGAGTCTGTCAGGCAATAACTAGACTGAGGAAGTGGATATATGAAAATATGTCCTGATTCTAACCCTCACATACTTGTTAGGTTGCTGCAGAAGAATGGGTTTGGCATCGTCACCAGTGACTTGTTCTGTTTCTCAAAGCAGGCAGCTTGGACTTAGAGGTACTCTCAAGTCTTATTAACAAGGCCTAGACTGCTCTTTACTGTCAAATTTTAATGGATATCCAATGACAGGAATGTAAGAAAATACTTTTTGTGTTATCTCTTTTACATATGAAGATCTATGAGTTTTTTTGCATTTTGCAAGGCCAAGAAACTGTTGAAACAGTATCAATGTGTGCATTACAGTAAATGCCACCAGAAAGTTCTTGCTGTTCCTGATTCCAATTCTGCCTCTTGTTGGGAAATACAACGTGACAGTCATGTGTTGGCTGGCCTGGCTTCTCAGGGTGATTTCATTCTCCTGACTGTGTATCTGCCACTCCTGGCTTTGCCATATCCCTCAGATGTGTGTCTTTAGAGTAAACAGATATGTTAGGGCCTCTTCACCTTCATAACTGCAACACAGAAGTTCTATCAATGTCTTTCACTTGTTTCAGAGGACCATCCAAAACAGAAATTGTAATAGAGAGTGAGGAAATGCGGGACCAAAAATGGCTGAATCTGCACCCAGATTGGAAGAATAAAAATGCATCCACTTTACATGCACTTCTAGTGAATGGGTAAGTAACAGGTTAAAAAAGATCTATTTTCCTGCTGTGGGTGGTCACTTATCAGTGCAGGATGTCAAACTCTCTTGTAAGCTCTTTTTTCCCATGGTGTCTGTGTATAAATCCCAGCACATACTCATGTAAGTTGTTAAGATACTACAATTATTTTAGTGCCTACAACCACTGTAGTCTCTTTTGAGACCTTTTTATGAATCCTCTGGGCCCCCTTCTGGTACAATAAGAGCATTTGAGTGATACAGAGGTGATGCCTTTGAAGCACCTGGACCAAGCAGCTTTGTTAAATCTGCTGAGACAGGAAGTCCAGCAAGTACTATAGAGCAAAATCTGCAAACACATCTTACCATCCTCTGCAGCCTGTGTAGTCTGGATTCATTAATTTGGAGCAACCACAGCTCCTTCAGTAGAGGCTATATCCACTTACAGTAGGTTTCCCTAGCTCTGGATTCAGATGATAGTATATTCCTTTTAATTAACCCAACTAAACAGTTATTAATGAGAAGCCAGGATTTCATGGTTGAGACATTCAAAGTGTGACTGTGAAGAGCCAGTGAACTAGAAATCCAGACCAAAACTGGAAAAGCCATCTAATCCCCATTGGCAACTGCGTTCTTCAAAAAGCAGATTCATGGTTTCCCTATTCTCTTTGAAATGCCCAGCAGCTTGCAGAACATCCTTCTTCCATAGAAAATCCTTGTGTTTCACAAGAAAAGATTGTCTTGGGTAACTGCAGAGATACAATATGTGTGAAGACAAAAATCTGAGGAAGAAATCTACTTTTCTTTTGCTTGGCTCTATTATTTTCTATACTCAAAGTTTTCCCTAGTGGCAGAATACTAAAAAGATTGTGCCTGCAAGGACCTAATTTTGCTTTCTTGCATCTCAATTTTGTGCCTTTTTTGTTTTATGTTGGTATTTTCCCCATTCCTTTAAGTTAATTTATAGTTTTTCATCTAGAAGGACCATTACTGAACAATACTTGAAAGTTGTCTTTTTAACTCTTTGATTTTCCTTTCTCACTGTCTTTTTCCTCTAGCCTAACAGTATCTAAATGCTTTTCTCCAGAGTAATACAAGAATAAACACCTTGGGTTGTGACCAGATGCAAAGGCAGATCCACAATCATATTCTGCTCAGTCACTAAAGTGCAAAGCAGAAATTTCAAGGTACTTTTTGACATTTTTGAAAGAGGTCTGCTAGGAAACGTATGAAGTAATGGATCTGGAGCCTCTGAGTTACAAATTGTAGCTGTAAAAGATTTAATTTTGCCCAAAGTGCAGGTTAAAGGAGGGAAAGCATCAGTAATGAGGATTATTGTTAAATCTATAGCATAAATGAAAGATACATGTAGGAAACAGATCTTCCAGTCCCCCTGAATTCAGTAAATGGACAACAAGAAGTGAGAGGCTGAGGAGGAAGGTTGCATGAAGGCGTTTTTGTTTGGGCTGCATCAGGCATCCAGTCCAGATGTCTGGGAAGTGCTCCTGAGCCCTGCAGTCTGGGTGTATTCATCTGTGTCACCTGCAGCATGTAAAATGTTTGTGCTGTGCAGTATGTTGAATGTTTAAAGGAGTTGCCAGGCTTCTGGACTAATGGGAACTTGGCCAAGAACTAAAAAATACACCACTAAATCATAACGTTTCCATAGGAGGGAACAGCACAGCGCAGGCAGTGCACACATAAAAGCTTAAAAGTTTTCTCTTTAGAGCTGGCTGAATGGTAAGTCAAAGAAGCAAGTGTAAAACACAAGTACGGCTGGTGTTATATTCTGTGTATTTTCTTTGCCTGTCAAAATTGTGCACAAAATTAAATTTCCAGAAATTCGTTGTCTATCTCTACCACCTCTAGAAAAATAATTTTGTGAACTGGGTTTTCAAGAAGAGAAATAGACTGATTTTTACAGTATATGAATGAGGTACATTCAATATAAGGGACAAAGGTTTGGTTAAATTCCAGATTCAAAGTAATCTGTTGGGCTGGCTGACACTTGTTTTGCCCAGTTAGGATCTATGACTTAACATGAAATGCAGCCTCTTTTGAGGTGGTTGCAGTTTTAAAGATACTACCTTCCTGCTGGGATTGAAGTCTGCAAAGAATTACCTGGCAAAGAAATGACCTCTGTATTCAGCTCTGCACCTGCCTCAGAAAAGCATGTACAAAGGAGGAATGAAAAAACAGTGGAAATAAAAAGGCAATCAACTAGTTGTGCAGCAGTGCTTGCTGTTTAACTGTGATTTCTCCTCCCTTAACAAAAGAAATCAATTATTTCCTCTTTTACCTGAAGATTTTCAACAGAAATAATAAATTTTTGTTGTTCTAATACCTACTTCTGCAGACTTCCTGGATTCTGTTAAAATAGCCAAACTCTTAGGGCATGAAAGATCATCTGTTAGCAAAGACATTTCAAATGAAATCCTGTCCTTTGAGTGTAAGGAAGAGGAGACTGGCAATCTGTGCTTTCAGGTGTCGTAAATAAGAACTTGACAGACTGTGTATCCCAGCTGACCTCAGAGCTGGATCCATGCCCAGGGAGCAAGGTAGTCTGCAAAATATATGATATCTGCTCATGAAATGTATTGTAAAGTTGAACTAATATTTTCAATTATCTTCAGGCAGATGCTGGAAGCCATGGATGATCTGGCATAAGAAGCTCCTTGAGTGTCTTTTTACAGTTTGAGGGAATTTTTAACAGCTGGTTTACAGCAATGAATACAATACCTGTGCTGATTTTCAAATTACCAAAATGAATCAATTAATGAAATTTCCACCATGTTTTGTTTCAATATTTAGACAGACGTGTCAAAGCAGAAGCAAAGTGGCTCTCTTTTGCACTAAAGAAGGTAAGAGAGAAGTGCTTATAAAATATTTTTCAAAATGTGTTAAATCATTTAAAAAAATGCAGATGTTTAGTGTGGATTCATTCTGAAACTTTTACTAGATCTCTGCAATGTCTAATTTTGCACTGGGTTTATTTTTCCCTACTTTGCTCAGTTTCATCAGCTTTTCTTATATTTTGACTAGGATGCTGTGTGTTAAGCTAGCCCATTCCTGATACCACAAAAGGAATTCTGTTAGCAGTTAGTTTTCAAAAAGTAATTTGATAAAACTTCCTGCTGAAAATATCCTTAACCAGCAGAGTGGTTAGCAGACCATCTGCCTGGGAGTTGGAGCCGTGATCTGTTTGTTAAGTTCAAGAGGACAGAAGAACCTGAAGTAGAAAGCTATGGACAAGTCTGTTGGCACAGTGGGTTGTGCAGTTTTAAGTGGTTTGAAAATGCAGAAATTCCTCATCTCTGATGAAACCATGTTCTACAGACAAGAAGAGCTTTGCTGAAGAACACTTGAACTATGAAGTAGCTTGAGTCAAGGAAAAGGAATTAAAAGACAGGAGCTAAATTTGGGAAACTAATCAAAACATTTGCTACTTGTTAGAGAAAGGCAAAAGCTCAAAGGAGCTTTCAGAAAGCTTGTTGAAGGTATTTTGTTCTGACATATATTGCTTACTCTATTAAGTTAAATGAACACAGTAAGAATTATAAGGTACAAAAAACCATTGCTCCAGTTTATTTCTTCAGCACTAAATTCTCAGATTCATGCAATGGCAGCATATCCTCCCTTGGGATGCTAGTTGCAGAAACTGGTGGTGTTCTTTTGTTCTCTAAATTAGACTGAGTGTAAACAGAATAAATAATAAGCCTGGCATCTTTCAAATCCAGAAAAGAAAGTGAAACAAAAGTGAAGGATTATTTTAGAGTAGTAACTGGCAGGTGGTAATCTGGTGTAATTTCTAGTGGAAGGGGCTTGTAAAGTGTAATGGACAAAGTATTAGAATGTTTTCAGATCGTTAAATATTCTCCCTTAGTAATTTCTGCAGGAAAAGTGAGTTTTCTGTTGTGTAGCTGAGTAAACAGCATGACATTAACCTCCCACCTGGCTGAAGAAAAACCTTATTATTAGCTGAGCAGATTTTCCAGAAGCAGTTCTTCTGGATAACACAAAGTAGGCCAGACATGTTAGTAGCTAGAAGGAAAAAACATCAGGAAACCTGAGCAAAAGGAAGTCAAGATTCCAAACTTGGCTTGGTTAATATTTCAGGCTGATCCAGGCAAAATTAATAAGCGGAGGGCAAATCCTTTGATACAAAGGGATGCAAAGAGCGGCTCAGTGTTTGATAGTGCTGCGTGTCAAACACTTTGGTTTGATGACTTGCCTTGGTCGGTGGTTTCGCTGAACAGAGGTAATTTCACGGCTGTGCCACCTTGCCGTGCCCAGCAGTGCTGCTGGTGCCCACTAACGCTGCTGTCCCCGCAGAGTGCGGCCGCCGCCCCGCCGCCCGCATGAGCAAGCGCATCCTGGGCGGCAGGACCAGCCGGCCGGGCCGCTGGCCCTGGCAGTGCTCCCTGCAGAGCGAGCCCAGCGGGCACATCTGCGGCTGCGTCCTCATCGCCAGGAGATGGGTCCTGACTGTAGCACACTGCTTCGAAGGGTGAGAGCGCTCACACATTCTACTGCTCGTATACTGCACGTGTGAATTAACCAGTCCTTCTCCCTCTACCGAACACACGGGGCATAGGTGGAGACCTTTGCAGAATGGCCAGTCACAGAGACCTGGTTTTAGGAGGCTAAAAAAGAAAGCAAAAAGGTACCAACCACATCAGCTTAGGTTTTCACGTGTTCTATTACTCATTGCTGGCATCTCTACTGCTAAAGCTAAATGAAGATGCCCTGACTTTCAGCAGGAAACAGGAGAAGGAAGAACACCAAATCACTAATTCTATAGCTGTCATACAACTGCCATGGGTTTAAAAATCATCCTCTGTACCAGCATAGAAAAAACCTTGAAAAAAAGCTGTGGCCACTGGTAAAAAGAAGAACTGAATATTTACTCACAGTGCAGATGACATATTGAAGTCACTGCCTTTTCTTTTTATACATTCCACTCTTTTGTTAAAATTGCAGTCATTAACAAGTCAGTATTAACAACTGAGTACCTCTTGGTACCAGAGGCTGTGGTGGAAGGACAGTCTGGAGTGCAGAGGATGTTTACATGTCTTAGCAATTGTTTTGATCATTGCCAACTTTTTGGTGCTAACCAATATTTCTTCTTGATGAACCACAGATTTCAGAGGGAGCTTTATTACCTAATTTATTTTGTTGTGTACCAAAGTTTTTTTAATTCGGTTTCTAAACAAAATTTTAACAAGTGTTTTCTGCCGTAGTTAGCAAGTACTTCTCTGGCATATGGTTGCTTAATCCTGCTTTATACTGGTGCTTCTCACTGGAAATTATTTTGAAGTGCACAAAGCACTTTCTTTGTGTTTAAGGCAGCAGAAATTCTATGTTAAGCAAGATTCTCTTGAACTGATATTTCTTTATAGTGCTAGTTACTCGCTCTTTCAGCAAAAATTTAGATTTTGTCTTTTTATTTCTAAAAGTTTCTAAAAACTAAGTTCTTTGGTGTTTGTCCTCCTAAACTAACAGTTTGCTAAACCTGTATAATACAAACAAGAGTACTGTATTTTATCAGATTATGGGTCCAGAAGGAATATCTCTTCCTTCTCCATCTATTTTTAAATATACTGCTGGAATATTTCCTATCCTTTGGAAGAACACTTTCTGGTGATCTAAAATAAAGGGTGGCACAGAGGTTGATTCTTCAGCAATATTGGACTGCTATTGAATTTCCTGGATAAGATTCCTCTCATTACTGAAAGATAAGCAAACAGCTGTCACATTATGAAGTAAAAATTCTCCCAGTTTTGTCAAATGCAGAAAAAGTGCCACTACACTTTGGAGCTGTTCATTTACTCCTCATGTAGAGCTGCATAATATCCCTGTGAGTTAAGAGTATAACTTGTTAACAAGTTTTTTTCTCATTTATATTCTAAAGACCTTAAAGCACTACGATATTCTTCTGCCTTTCTGAATAGATTGGGGGGCATGTACCCAGAAGCCTGAAATCTTGAAATTCTTCTTTTGTAAGAACTTCTTTTGTAAGCTTAATATATCATCAGCAAGACCACTCCTTACGGGTTTTTTGCACACTAAGCATTTAAAAAATTTCCCAAACCAACCAGATAAGACAACAATATAAAGAGATTTTAAAGTGCTCTGGTCCTTTATACAAAACACTCCATTTTGTGAAACTCATGTGAAGTTTGGAATACAAAACATAAGGACCATGTAAAAACAAGACAAATAGCCATGAATACTTGTAGAGGGCATAAATCGAAAGAGCTGCATTAACGTTGTGTCATTTGCAAGTTTTCTTATTGCAGTCCCCAGAGTTTTGTTAAGATCATTTTGAAATGCACTACATTAAAGCATCCAAAACATTTCAAGATGGTTTTTTTCCTTATGTGTGGCACAATACATTCTAGCTGACTAGTTATTTCTGTAGGCAATGCTGTTTTACAATGGTCATAAGCACAAGAGTATAGAAATATTCTCATAAACACAATAGTATATAAATATTCTCAGCACTTCATTGCTGTAACTGTAGGAACAGCTCACGAATTGATCATGATGCTAAAATGATCATTATAGTCTGAAATGCCAGAATTTTCATCCATCATTTTCATCAACTCTTAAGATAAACGTAGTCTTGACTTAGCAACTGAATCTCTACAAATTACAGGAATTAAAATCCTGTTGAGCACCATGAAAAAGCTGAAATTTTGCATGGTTTTGCTTGCACTGCTTTGAATAAGATTTAGTCCTGTCAAAGGTGCTTAGTTACATGGAGTTTTCTTTCAGCAGTTGTGGAAAATGGTGACTTTTTTGCAGAGCTTTTATAATCACAGACTAATTAGAAACCACAAACAAAGAACCTGCAATTAATCCTCAGTTAAGACTGAGAGATTGCAGCCTCGAAGCCTTCCATAAAATCTAGGCTTTTCTGATGTGTCTCAACAGACAATAGTTCAGTATTCCCCCCTGTATCATATGTATCATTGCTTTGTGATCTTGTATGTTTACCCAAAGAGTCTGTTAAAAATTTAAGAGTCAAAGTAACCTTTGATCTTAGGCATAGAAAATATGCTTGGCATAGACTGAATGCTGAATAAATAAGAGATTTTTCCCATGGCTATCATAAAATATTTAATTTACACAATAAAATTGCTTATTTGAGACTCCTTAGGGTTTTCAGCGAGACTTAACTGCTGTCAGCAGCAGACTGCTGAACAATATTCTCACCCCAGCAAAGTTTGTATGTGCCCACCACTGAGCATGTGAGCAACTAATGCTGGGAATGATCCGTGGGATGGCTTTGACAGCCTTTAATACAGCAACTAATACATGGTTACGTATCTTCTGATGGAGTGAGCTTTAATGTGTTGGATTACAGCAGGAGGGAAATGGAAAGCATTGACTTCTGTTGCTCAGATCTTTGCTGTAAGGAATAATGCATAAATACCTGTTTTCTTCTTGTAGTATTTGCACACTTTGCAAAGTGTAGTGTACAAAAAGGGAGAAAAATATCTGAGGTATTTTAGCTTAAAAAAAAGACCTTGACTGAAATTTCTTTTTTTTTTTTTTTTTTTTTTTTTTTTTTTTTTTTTTTTAAAAAAAAAAAAAAAA